AAAAATTAAATCTGTGTCAAAAGAGTATACATGTATATACCATCTATGTAAAAAAATATCGGGAATTTTTAATTAAAGTTATTTCGCGTTTCGTTAGAGTTTTTGGAAGACAACTCAACGAATAGAATTGAAACACCATCTTAGTACTTGATATAGTCCCCTGTAACTTTTTTCTTTTCCCAAAAATAAAATAATCACTTCCAAAAAAAAAATGCTTGCGGTTGATAAATGAAAAATTATGGAATAAATATTACAGTTCATACCTAAATCAATCGCGGAAATACGTATTGGGAATTGGTCCAATTGTGACCATAGCAGTAACAAACTTAGAGGATTATTTTGTAAATGATTTTTCATTTAATAGATAGAGAGATATGTTAAACTAGAAGATACTTTATATATTCTGTATAAAAACTATTCAGAATTAGCAAATATCGAGATTTTCAAAGTAAAATCTAGCTTTAAATCTCTATGCTCCAAATTAAACACCCTCGTAGCTGTTTCTTCTGCTTGTGCATCAGTGTCGGGCATACTTTTAGCATATGGTATGTGGTTTTTCTCTTTTCTCTACAGTATCTAAAGTCTGAGTTGGATTGGATTCCTAACTTTGTTAGGTGATTATTAAATCTACACTGACCGGTTAGTATTCCCGTAATAATTCTTAAGTTATTATTTGTTAGTTCTATGTAATCCCTGAAACGTTTTAAGTTGTAAGACCCTAAAAGCATTTTAGTATGTGATAGTCTTAGCAACCCTTCCCAATATAGTTCTCTCTCCTTTTCCTGTACAATGTTCATAAGAAGGAATAGTGTTCCTTTGCCTAGACCGCGTATCGAAAGATTACGAGATATATCTGGGCCTATCATCATTGAAGCTGCGTCTCTTCTTGCGAATTTGTCTGCAACTTCACTGCCTTAGATAACAACATGCCCCAGAATACATATCAAGTACACTTAATTCTTCCATTCAGATATGATCAGCTTGTCATACCTGGACAAGCACTCCTAAATCAGCCGAGACCAAACCTATATCAATCTTGTAAAAATGTGTTCTGGATTGGATGAAGAATTATCATACTTGTTTTTCACTTAATAGGATCTACTTTAAATTCGATAAAAAAAATTTTGTTTAATTACACATTTTTTGTCTAATGTATTTAATAATAATGAATAATTTATATTCTGTACATATATCTACACTTTCCACCTTTTTCAAAAAAGTGACAATGTTATACTTTAAAAACGTGATTCCAAATCGTTTTGTATAAGGAGTTATGGATCTACGGTTGCAAAATTTTAAAAATATTATTAACATATTGAGTTAAAATATTAAACGAAATATTAATTTGTTTTCAACTATTCATGGATCCAAGTAAAATATCGTCCTGCATTTTGTTTACTTATTTATAGTTTATTAATTAGTTTTAAAATTTCAAAACTAGTTAAGGTTTTTACCAAGAACTAATTATACTATTTTTATATCATACTTTTGATTGAAGTAGTCGAAGCTGAAAATTAAAATCCTTGAAGTATTTTCATGACTTTTTGCAAATTACATGTCATTATCATGCTTTATCATACTTCCTCAACAACAGTCAATTTAATTTGCTGTATTTTATATTGCAATTTACTTCCTTTCAGGATTCGTTGGCAAAGGAGTTGGCTTCGCCGATCGCGAATACCTCGTTTGGTATATACTTTTTGTTATATTTGTGCCGTACGCAATGTTGCCGCTGCCGCTGAAGTGGTGCGTCGTTGGTGGCACCATAACAGCCAGCTGTCATCTGGCCGTAATTACAATAATTAAATTACAGAACCAGGAAGTAAGTTTGTTGCTATGAGCTGCTATACCAACTCGTAAAAAACTTTATAAACAATTTACTATGCTAACAATCAATGATTTCCCCTTTATGTACTGCTCTTGTCTAATATCCTTAATTTACATTGTACCATAATGTCCTTGTCTTGTATCTACTAACTTACGAAGTTTCTTTGTTTTTGTTTTTGTTTTTGTTTATATTTGCCTTTTGTTTAGAAATCGAACTGCATTTTATTTCAAATATTTGCCAACTTTATGCTTTATACGGCAATAAACGTAGCTGGGATGTACACCAAGTATTTAACCGACAGAGGTCAACGCTTGGCATTTATTGAGACGCACAAAGCCATGGAACATAAAAAGGAATCAGAGAAGGAACTACAAAGGACACAAAAACTTTTGGACTCAAGTAAGTTAAGTTATTTTTATTACGATTTGCAAAATTATATATTTTACTTGTAAGTAGTTTTTTTAGAGAGGTTTCGTAGTAATTTTTCCATTTAAAGAATATCTATTTAGTATTTCATACGTGAATGAGTATCTTGTGTTGTTATTTGAAGTTTTTAATTTACTACGAATGACGTACGAAAGTGCATTTTAATGTCATTTCATGTTAATGTAAACAAACAACTTCATTTTCAGTTCTGCCCAACATTGTCAACAACCAGATTCGCACGGAAATGTACAAAGGCACCGATCCGATGGTGGAGACACAATTCAATAAACTCTACGTGTACCCGATGCACAACGTCAGTATTCTGTTCGCGGACATCAAGGTGAGTTTGCTTATGCAGGAGTTAAGTAAATAACACATATAAGGCGTGTTAACAAAAGAAGGAGCATTTGTTTTAAATTTATTATTCTGCCCTACATGTGCTCGGAATAATACTCGTACTTTAAATTTATTTCAGGAATGATTATAGATTTTATTGCAAGGTATAATGCGATTGCAACTTTACATAGTCGTAACAGACAGCGACTTAATATATTTTAGGAATAACATTCAAAAAAAGTTAATCCAAAAGAAAATATTTCAGTAGATGGAGTTTATTTCAGGAATTGCAATTCAATGCAATTATTCACTAAGAATTTATTGCAATAAAATGACTATTAAGTGACTATAACTAAAAGGATTCAGAAAAGTAGGTTTTAGAAATATTCCACAGTTAAAAGATCTCTATTATTGCATATCAAAACATATGGGAGAGGTTTTTAAATCTGATATGAACGCTCCAAGAAAAACTTTCTTATTAAATTGGCTATTACAGACGCAAGTCGTCCTTGACTGCGCCCAGTAACCTCCGCCAACCAGCCAGAACAGTGACTTCCTCTCGCCAAGAGTCCCTAAATTGTTTGTCACCTGGTCCTTTCATCGAAGATGCGGACGTCATTTACCGCGTTTTCCACTTTCGAGTACCAAATCAAACACCTTTCTAGTTAGAATACTTTATTTCATTCGCATGACATAACCAAACCAGCGAAGCCGCTGAACTTTTATATTCAAGAACAGCACGAAACCCAAAAAACCAAATTAAAATTGTTTGGAAATCGAGGTCAAGCTGACAGTTTTCAATAATCCAGATATAATCCACTCCCACTTTTAAAAAAGCAGAAAAAGATTAACAAAAACTGTTTTTGAGGTTATGAAGTGTTTTAATAGAAATACCTACCGAAAATAAGCAGATTAGTCCAAGGCTAAATTATAGGGTTTGCACAATGAAAAAGCAGCATCGCACGAAGCCATTGTTATTCAAAAGTTTTTGGCGAAAAAAATCAAATTTTTTTATTTGTCAAATACACTACTCCCTAATATGTCTTCGTCCAACTTTTTTCATTTCTCAAATTTCTAATTGCCACTTAAATGAAGCCGTTGCGAGTTAGTTGCGTCTACAAAAGATAATTTGCTAAAATAGTTCAGTGCAGTATCACTGAACCAACCAACAAGAAATATATAAAGAATTAAGTATATCATATCATGGCACTCGATGATGTCACCGGAATGAAATATGTGGAAAATTGAGTTAATCAATGTGTAGACTCATTATGTTGAGTATGGCATTCGATGGGTCACCGATTAAATTTGTTAAGAATTGAATTAATCGCTGAGTTCGGGCACCAGATCTAAATATGTGGAGGATTGAATTAATTCGAGGGGATCACCAGAATATTGGCATTCGTTGGTGTCACCGTATTGGAATTTGTGAAGAATTGACTTAATTATAGTACTTAAGTCACCGAAATGAAATATGTGGGTGTATGAGTTAATAATGACTCTCAAAGGGTAGTCACCGGAATAAAATATATGCCAGATTGAGTTAACTCAGCACATAATGGTGTCACCAGAATGAAATATGTGGCGGATTTGATTAAATATCTACTTCATCTACTTTATCCAATAATTCTAGATACTTTGTACTTCAAATTATTTCAATCAGTTTCATGTATTCACAGAAAAGTAATAGTGTAATGATATAAGGAAAAATCCATCAAATGAGGCCAATGTAGAGAAAGAAGAATGCCTTTTTTATTGAAAGCAGTTATGCTTTGTTAATTGGAAAGACGATCACATGACGCCGGAATATTCAGGTTAGGTTGGATTAAATTATTTTGGCGACACTAAGGATTCACTTAGGTGTATTAACTCACTGCGTTGCAGTATAAGAACTGAGGGCTTAAATTTTTTGAATCTTTAAATCTTTAGCAAAAATCAAAATGTGTGTTAACAAGAAACTTCTGGAAATGGACATGATCCTTAAAAAAGTAAGCCCGTACCATAGTTAATCGACGCATAAACTGGGCAGTAAACTGGGAACACTATCAACTTGTGTACAGATGCCTGCATATCCATTGCTATACCCACCTTCTATTAAATTACTCAATATAGAAAAAGTCGTAGCATTATGCCATAATCTTTCAAATGTATCGCAATATTATCTAAAGCACCTTGTCTAGCTTGCAGTTACCGAAAACATCGCTATGATCCAGAGTAGAGAAATATTAAACCGCATCGACATCTCATTCAGAAATGTGTAGCAGTCAAAATACTGTTCCGGATGTGAATTGGACTGGACTCAGTGACTATCTGATAGCATACGTATATTTCGATGCCGTATATTATTCACGTCTAGACAAGCTATAGCTTTCAAAATAGCAATCTCTTCCGTCTAATAAACATTACAGTGATCAGAAATTCCTTAATATATAGATTTATTGATTCCCTCCAAGTAAATCCTTTGCCTGCTCCACTACCTGCTCTACTACCTATTGTCAGTATAAATGATTAAACTCTCTTCTAAAAAGGGACCTCCCAACAGCCAGGTATCTCCAGATGGAAAATTGATGAAAGAGATATTCATGAAAGACAATGTATATAAAAAAAATTATATTTATAATATATACCTATATAATAATTTTTTTTTATTTTGCTGTAATAACATTTTAATTAACTATACCACATCTCTGCACAATAGACCCTTTGCCAATAGTTCACGACTTTTCAAAAATTTTAAAGTTTTTAAAAAATTTATGACATTTTTTACAAAAATTAATTAAAATAACTGTCAATTATTTTATTTTGAAAGACATGTACACATACATATAAAAATAATTTTTTGTAAGGTTACTAACTTTTTGGTGCTCTTATTTCTTTTGACAGGGTTTCACGGAATTGGCCAGCAAAACATCAGCACAGCAACTCGTGAAAATCCTGAATGACCTTTTTGCTCGCTTCGATAGAATCGCAGAGGTGAGTATGGATTCTACAAAAAATAAATTTGAATTTATGTAGAAATCTACTATAAAACCGTTTAGGTGAGCTTAGTGGGATTGGTGGTGCATGTGTGATGGCCACATTCGGTGAAATTTTGCATAATATTTATAGCAATTTAATTTTTAGATACGAGTATTTCGTGAATTTTTAAAACACATTATTTTCTGTTTATCTTTTTTTTTTGTGTTAATAATCTAGATTTAAGATAGTTAAGTGTCAAATGCAAAAAGTGCAAAATTCACATTTTGGTTGTTATGAAAAAGCAAAATTTCAATTATAATTTGCATTTCTATTTCATGGGAAATTCAATTTTCACACCGAAAAAAATGCAGATGACACTAATCAAATGTGATATCTGCAATAAGTATGAAATATTTTAAATAGAAAAGAGATATATATATAAACTTAATAATATTTTGGCGCATATGACAATGATTATAGGACTTAGGTGCGTAGGATTCAAGTTTGTGGGACATAAGTTCGTATAATTTAGCACTTTTAGTTTTTGAATTTTTTCTAAATTTAAAAATCACATAAATAAAATAGAGTAAAAATAAAATAGAGTAAAAATGATATATGTATTTATATATATGTATGTCATATAATCGCAAAGTAGAACTAACAGGACATTGTAAACTAAAATACCACCTTACCAGTCTTGGTATATATACAGACGGAAACTGTATATTCTTCGAAGAGCATGAAGAGTCATCCATACAAGAAGCCAGGCATAATAAACAACGAATGAATACCTAAAGTACCACAACACATATTAATAATAACAGTGTAAAAATATCAAACACTACAAATTTAATTTAAGGAATCCCTAAAAGTAGGCAATAAATTTTAAAATTAATGAAACTTCAATAGATCTTTAATATATCGAATAATGCTCGGAAAAATTGATATAACTCACTGCAATGCTGAAAAATACTTATTTAATATCATTTCTAATAGATGTGCCTTCTCAAAAAGGCATTACATGTATAGCCATATGTTTAGCATTGTATCAAAGATCTAGATAATAAGTCTAAACATTTTCTAATCTTTGATTTTTTGGAATTTGCAATTATAGCTATAAATACAATTCTGACTTTACTTAGTTGCGTTGATAAGTTCCAAATATAGCACAAAATTTGCATATTTTTTTACTTAAAACCCATTTTATCGTTCTTTAGAGTATATTCAACTATAAAATGAAGCATACTCAGTCTTATAAATTTCATCACTGCTTTTGCATCTTATTCTCTCCAAATGTCCAATGTTAAATTTTTTAAATTGCTTTACCGTTTTCTCCATAGCAAAATTCTCACATGTTATGTATGTATAGTGCGGTCACAATCATTAATTTTTCTTCGCTACTGAGATCGGTGCATAGTTGTTGGAGTATTTATCTAAAACTACTGTAGAAAACCCGAGATTATACTTTGTTAAGAGTTGGGTTGTCGACCCATGTGAGGTTAAGTAAATTATTTGAAAGGGTTTTTTAAAATATGCATTAGCCAATAATTTCTAGACACTTTGACAATTGTGAAATAATTTAATATTTAATATAAGGACCACTTCATTTTGGAACCTTTTGTTTATCACCCACTTTGATGTTAGTTAGCCATTAATGGTATTCACTTTGTTTTGGAAATACTGTTAGCTTCAGTGTTTTTTATGAAGCTTACGAAATCTGTTACTCCACTAAAGTGGAGTATGGTATTACTGAAACCTCTTGAGCATGTTAAAGTGACAGTTCTTCAAAAAGTCTGTTAAAGTTCGTTTCACTATTTTAATTCTTACTACCTTATTAAATTATTAAGATATTCAATACCTAATTTAGTTTAACAACAGTTGTAAGTCGTAAAATCCTATGTTGTCATTATATTGTAATATTATGACTTAACAGAAACTATTTTATTTAATAAGAAGGTTTTCGGAGCAGTTGTGAATTGTTGGAATTCACACTGTTCGAAAAACGTCTCTATGAAAATATTCCTATATTTTTAATAGATAGCAATTTTTTGAATATTTTTTAAAAATTTTTGTTTAAAATATTTGTAGCGTTTGACCTTCAGTTTCCCTTGTTTTTAGCTGCATTTTCAGTTAATGGATTAAAAAAAAAAACTTATTTCATATTTTTTATGCTAAAATAAAAGAAACTGCGTTCTTAAAAATTTGTATATAAAACGAAACACTTACCAATCTGGACATGTTCATCGTAACCCCACCATTTCACATTTTACATTACATTAAGTTTATGGGAGTATAAATTTTTTCTTATATGCAAATTATGAGCTATCGATGCAGCTCTGCTTCATTGGCTCCAACGTAAAGAAAACTCAATTTTAATATTAAAATCAACTTGAAAATGATTTATCATCCTATGTTTCCTTATTGCTTCAAGGATAATCACTGTTTACGGGTTAAATTGCTGGGCGATTGTTATTATTGCGTGTCCCAATTCGAGAGCGATAACTGGAAAACACGTCCGGATCATGCAGTTTGCAGTGTCGAGACAGGACTTCACATGATAAGAGCTATTAAAGATGTCAGACTGCACACGCATGTAAGTAAAAAAGAAAAGAGTTTTTATGTTAAAATAATAAATAAAATCAACACACACAAAAAATTGTGTGTAAATTCATTTTTTATTTATTACCTTTTAAATTTTTAAAATATTTTTCGGAATCGTTTGCATAAATACCCAAGCACCCATGTGTATGCATGTTATGGGCACAGTGGCCCAAAGGTGCTATATCATAAATATGTGCCATGTGTTGGTATATTTATACTAGATGGCATGTGTTCAGCTTTAGTGTGTGAATGAAATTCTGCATGCAAATTTTTAGCAATGCTTTGGGCTGCAATGAAATATTCAACAGATTTGAGTAAAAACCAAAGATTCATAAATTTTTATACCATTTCCTTTGCACTTTTGCCTTATATTTCATTTAATATTTTATATTTCCTTTAATAAATGCAGTATGACAGCTGAAAGCAAAGATTGTTTGTAAATCATTTGTATGCAAATGAACTAAATATCAATCAAAAGCAAAAAGGTCTTAATTTTTTACTCCTAAATAAACTATTTGGAAATTTAATAGTAATATTAAAAATGAATAATAATAAAGATATAAAACTAAAAGGAATACAGTATTGCATTATTATCTTATATATTTTTGCTCGAAATTACTGCACCTGCCTGCAACATAATAAAGTAACATAACTCATACGCTCTGTTGCACCAATAAAGTGCACAACAAAGTAGCGCTGACAAAGTGATAAACGGTAATGCTGGCAATGTGATATGAAATAAATAACAAAGCTCCAGAGTCAACCGTATTAGTACGTTTTGATGCGGGCCATTTTCTGTAAACAAACTGTCAATTTTACTCTTGTGGTCCTAAGTCCCATAAATTGAAACAGAATACATTTAACTAATCTATTCACCAATTTGTTTACATTTGAACATATATTTCATCCTTCTATATGTGTTCATATTCCTAATCCTTTTACAATTTTAATTACAGGTCGATTTAAATATGCGCATTGGCATCCATAGCGGTTCGGTTATGTGCGGCGTTTTGGGTAACAAAAAATGGCATTTTGATGTTTGGTCAAATGACGTTATAATTGCCAATCACATGGAATCCGGTGGAATACCAGGGTGAGTTTAATAATTTCAACAAACAATTAAATCGTGTTTATGTAGAATAATTGATAAATTGAAAAATGATATGAGAAAATGTAGCTGAAATAATTTCCATAATCATAACAATTAATTGCTTTTGAATAGGAAAAGCATGCGAAATACATATAAAATAAATATAAAAAAAGTTTTTGGCAACTAAATGAAAAGTAAAAATATTGTAAAATCATAAATCATTATTATTAGAAAATAAAATATGATATAAACGACTTTCTCATATCTCTATCTAGTGTGTGGTAACAAAACGGCGCCTACGCACAAGCTAGGTGAGAAAGCTATGCTATTACTTAAACCAACCCACCAACCAACAGCTTGAACTAAAAGAATATTTTAGTTCTTATACTATATAATATATAATATATATATAATATATAGTATATAATATATAGTATAGTATTTTATACTATAGTATAGTATTTTCACTAGACGCAATCCTATAAACTAATCTACATATGTATTAGGACTATTAATAAACACTTCAACATGCTTTGATATTTAGACTCCAGTTGAGCCCATTGAGTTCAACGACCTGCCATTTAAAGTTACTCACTTACTAAGTTGACCATTACAGACGTGAGTCGTTCTTGGCTGCGTCCAATATCCTCCGCCAGCCCGCCCGATCAGTAACTTCGTATCTTCTACCGCGTTTTCCACCTGCGGATACCGTAGAATTTTTCTCTCGAATGCTCCTTTTCATCACTGTTGGTAATTGTACATGTTCTGCAACACACAGCAGGTCAGACAAGAGACTTATAGAGCATAATTTTGATTTCTCGAGACAGGCCTTTGTTTCTCAGTTGTATGATTAGCCTAAAATAACAGCTGTTGGCAAGAGTTATTCTTCGTTGAATTTCTAGTCTAACGTCATTATTAGTGTTAACGCTGGAATCCAAATAAATTACGCCCGCTGGAAGTGCTGAACCAATTTTCTAGCAATCATTAAATTTTCAGAAATCAGTAGTAAATAGATAGGAAAAATAGTAGTAAAAAGTAAAAAAGAATTTAAATCTACTTAGAATGAAAAATCTATTAGCATTTAAACTCGATGAGTCGAAGCAGCTATTTGAGTGTTAGTATCATTTAATCCAATTCTTGAAAGCTGGTAATACACTAGAGTAGGTGCAGTTCCAGTTACTAATGTGAGTTCAGATCTACTTAAACTGAAAAGCATATTAGCTTTTTTATTTCTCATGTACTATTTGGTTTCTGTAGCCGTTTAATAGACAACTTCAAGTCCTTTAAGGAAATTAAAAACATCCATCTCTGCAAACATGTCGGGTACTTTATTACAGTCCCTTTTCTTGAATGAAAGTATCCAGATAAGTTTTACTATATTTATACTGACTAATTCTCACATAAACTTTGAATGCCCTTGCATCAAGTGATTCGAAATTGTATTCGATATGAATATAGAATAGTGCTGCCCCTGCCAGCTACAGCCGAAGACAGATTTATGATCATTTTTTGCATCAGACTTCTTTTGCAATCAAATCAAAGGCTACATGGTGAACCCTTTTCAAATATAGAACCACTGACTTTGTACATAGAAGCAAATCAGAAGTATTTAGTCTAATATCTGTTTAACAGGATAGTGAACCATAGGACGGGTCTAAACTCAGCCTGTCCTGCAGTGTCTCTTGTATTACTTGTCTACCGGAGTTTGAAGAAAGAACACCAAAAAACCTGCTTTTCTAGCCTTCTAAACGTCTCCTAGTTAAGAAATTATTTTGCCATGGAAACATTTGCTATTATTCTGTTATTTATAGACTTGATTGGTAATTTGGCAAGTATGTCTTTTTTAGATGTCTAGTCTTTTTGAAACACTTTCACAAGTGCAAGTGACACTTCTTTAAGCATGTATATTTTTTTTCATATAGAAAATTATATTAATAAATCAAAATTCATTTTTGCTAAAACCTATAAAATTTAATTTACAAATTCCAATTCAAATTATTTTTACCTGTTCACTATGTACTACACTGAGAAAAATATGTTCTAACCTCATACTAATTAAATTGATCTAATCATTTTGTTAGAGCAAGTTTATCTCATGTGGTAGAGAAGATATAAAAAACCAACATGTGGTAAGGTTGAACCAACATGATGTGTCGAGTAAGAATATTTCGACCTAAGATTTAGTTAAAATCTGGTTAAATCAACCAAATTATTTTTCTAAGTGTAGGTACATTCGGTTGGGTATTTACAACTCTATGTGGGTTGATTGTGAACTAAATATAATTTTTTTGTTCCCACAAATTCATGATATATAATCCTTTTACAGTTAAATTTTATTTAATTTTCTTCAATTTATTTACAACTTGAACTAAGTACCTTTCCTTTGAACCTTGAATATGTAGGTATACATATAATGAGATGTGTAGCTTACAGCTTATAGTTCTATATTCTACTAGAATTACTTTAAACGTAAGTGTAAATAACATATGCATTTAAAGTATTATTTAGTAATCTAGATATATTTCGACATCAATTAATTTATGAATAAAACATTTGGGCAAATATTTGAAATTGATTCCAAAAGCCATTACACTCTTAAGTGCTTTCCATTTAATCTTAAATAGTTGAGAATAATTACAATTTAAAGAATTTAAGGTAATTGAAATTCATCAAATGATTCAAATAGAAACTCTTTGAAGATTATTCTGCAGTAAGAGACGTGTACTCGCATGTATCATGTATCTTGTATCTTGTATCTGTATCTTGTATCTGTATCTATATTTATGCATTTAAATGCCACAAGTGAAAATTCGTGTTGAGTTCTGTTCTGTATGAATAAATCTAACATTCTGTTCGACACTTTAGCAATTGTGGCTTTTAATTGAACATGAAATCGAGAGTGGTTGTGGAAAAGTTAAAAGCTACATAAAATCGATTCAAACGAGACAATTTAAAGTTTGTTATGCAAATATTTGATTTTAATTTACAGGCGTGTGCACATTTCGGAAGCAACACTTAAATGTCTAAATGACGCCTACGAAGTGGAACCAGGCAACGGCGGCAGCCGGGACAATCATCTCAAAATGCTGAACATCAAAACGTTCCTCATCAAACGCACTGAACCATTGAGGTGTGCTATGTGCTCGTACTCGTACTCGTACTTATATTTCTAACTGAATAAAAACATCACAACGACAACAACAGCAACAACAATAACATTATTATTGCTAGTTTAATTTAACTGTCAATAATTTTGTTAGAGTTGAACGAACAGAAAAACACTTTTCCATTTCAATTAAATTTTAATACTTTTTTTCTGTAATTTGTTTTTGCTTGTTTAGAAATTTCTCCATGTTTATGTTTCTATTAACTCCTCTTCTTCTCTATTTCTCGACAATTTTCACAGACCCAAACGTCGTTTTGGCACGCGTAGCAGTCAGCATCTTGCGACTACCAATACTAGCGCTAGCACACCAACGGCCGCAATTCCTAATTCCAACATGGCAAACATTTTTAACAAATCAAATTCCACAACTGGTGTACTTGTGGAGCAGCCACTTCCTGCGCTGCATCCACTTCCTCCGCATCCGCCGCTTGCTGTGGTCAAAAAGAAAAACATTTCATTAAACTCGCTACCAAATGTGGTTGAGGGTGTCGCCTTGGGTTCGAATATGCCTTCGCCAACGGCCGCGTCATTGCCCATGGAACATCAATCGAAATCGAATGGTGCCAGTGTGCACAATTTGGCGGACACGATAGATAGTAAAACAATTATCACAGAGGATGAACCGACTACGGAGTGGATACCGGAAATTCCATTTAAAAACGTAGGTGGTCAGTCAAAACAAACTAAACAATATTTTCCCAGACGAAGTTTGCAGTGCAGTGCAATGCAGTGCTCTGCTTTAATTGCAAAATTTAATTAAAAAATGTTTTACTATTAATTAAATGCACTTCACGGCGTACATTGACAACTGCCATCATCCAATTTTCTATATTTAGTTCCAAGCAAATTGATTGATGCATTTTTTATTCTGCTAATGTACTTTTAATAATTTTTAACATAATTTTCATGTCTTTTCATGTTTTTGCCAATCAGTTGAACTCACCGGAAGAAGGACTGAACCGTACTGATTCCATGTTAGGAGATGTAAAACAGGATCATCGTATATCTGTCACTGGATTGGATGAAGAGGTTAGAAATTCAATATGCTTGATTCAATCAGTAAAATAAATAATTATATAAATATTATTAATTAAAATCAATTAATATGGTGTATCAAAATATATTAAAAATTAATTATTGTTTCTTACTTTCCCTAATGAGCTTTAGACGTATTCCACAAAATGTACATAAGGTAGGGTATATAGGTAGGCCGAAAAGTGTACATAAGGTTTGTCATGATGTTTACAATACATTGTAGAAAACGGTGTAGAACCCAAAAAAGTATATATATTCTTGACCCATTTAACATGTTGAGTTCCTTAAGCCTTCTCCATCTGCCGTCTGTCTGTCACAGTTCAAACAATTTCCTCCGTTTTTGAGCTATTTAACTGTAACTTTTCACATATACTTTTCGGAATGTAATCTGTATAGTAAAACACGTATAAGGGCTGCCGTTAATAAAATAATAATAATAAAATAAAATTAATAATAATAATAATTTTAAAAATAAAACACATATAACCGCTGTTTAAGAAACAAGTTTTTCTCAAAAACCTTTAAATTTTTAATGTATTCGTTTTTAAATTAGAATTTTAGTATATGGTATATAATTCCCTTAATTGTGGTAAAAATAATATCAATCGGTTCAGATTTGGTTGCTTTACAAAGTGATACTTCTGATACATCTTTTTCTCCATTATGTGTACTACTGTGTACCAAAAGCTCATTCATATTTAATTCAATATCCAATGAAATATAAGCGTGACCCAAAAATTTTGAACTGCAAATATCGTGATACCAGAAATTCCTTTCCAAAACAAAATGGAAAGATTGCTAGAAAGCAATGGCCTAGATTTTACAGGAATTAAACGAAAATCATTTTGAGCTTCAGAAAACCTGCTGTACGGGTACTTACTAGACTACTAATGGACACTGTGTCTATGCGTCGATGCTTCAATGGTGGCAAAGTTCAACAAATGGTTGATGCAGGAGTTGCCATTCTGAAGAACAGATATAATCCATCATTTACTTTCAATAGAGTGACTTTAATGTCCTGGAGAATTTTTCATTACAGTTCTAGCAGACATGACGAAAGTGAACTCGTCGAATCCCCTTAGCTTTATCAGGAAGATTAAAATAATTTATAAGGGCAATATACAAAGATAATAAGAGTTAGTGTATCACTCTTCCAGCGACGTTTGTATCACAATGGGTAATAGATTTCTGTGAGTGGTAGTGATGTTCGTTGTTGAGAGAGCATTATTATAGTACCCTCTCCACCAAACGTGTCCTATGAATACAAAGTTATTTCATAATGTCAAAAAAGTTGGAATTGTTATTGAATTATGATTCAT